GACATTCCTCATTTAATGACCGAGTTCCAGTCCTGTGACTAGGTTGTTAACTGAATTGGTTGCTAAATGAGGAATTGTATGCAGTATGTACATTACAATATTCAGAACAAAGAAATGATCAAAGGAAACTCCAACTTGATGACTTTGCTTTTATTTGCATAACTCATATACAGTACTGTAATGTATAGCAGGACATAAAACTACAGTACTGTACAATCAGCAAAAATTACAGTACTGTATAAACAAGGGGTACTATACTAAAAAAAGACATTGAGGCTCTATAAACAAGATGTACAGAACGGAACATGAAAAAAGGATGGTTCATAAGTCTGAACAGTGCACCTTGGTTGTAAGACTGGCTGTTAGACAAGTAGGTCATTAAATGAGGAATATCTGTAATAAGGTTTTATTGAGAGTTACTGTGTATATGACTCCTTAGTAGTGAGGTAAGGAATGTGATATAATCCATGGGATGAAGAAGTTTATGAACTTGTTGAGTAAATAGTAATATGTACATATATACTGTGTTTCTATAGGATGCTGTTATATTGATAGTATATCAAGTCTGTACATTATATATAGTCTATATATTGCTATTTACTCAATTTATCATAAACAATTTTGTTGAGTGGGTTATATATTTTCTTAGTTCAGTATAGAAGATAGTTATGATTGTCATGAATGATATCAATACAAAATGAATCTTCAGTTTGAAGTTCTGTGTAGTTCTCAGAAGTTTATACAGGCTTCACTAATGAAAGGGAATTTAAAACGAATATTGAATAATAACTAGGAATGGATTAGGCTAAGAGGAAACTTTTAGCAAAATGAAGTGGATAGGTGTTATGGTTTGTGTCTAGATGTCTCCCCCAAGGCCTCATGTGGTCATAGGTGGGGATTTTCAGAGGTGGCTGGATCTAGAGTGTGTGACACTGGGATTGATTTATGGTGCAGTGCTAGAGTTAAGGGTGCTGGGATTAAGGGTGTGTGATTACTAAAATAGTCCACTGATTGGTTTAGCACCTGCCCTAAGCTGGGTAGCCTTGATGGAATATAAAAGGAGCAAAAATGAGCTGTTATTGTCACTTGTAATTTGGTGCCCTCTGCTTTCTGTCTTCTGCCTGCCGTGAACTGTTTCTCCTCTGTGATGCCCCAGTGCCATGCCACCTTGCCTTAGAGCCTGCTGATTATGTACTGAAAGCTCTATAAACTATGAGATAAGTAAGCCTTTCCTCCCTTGTGAGTGTTGAGTATTTTGTCTCAGCAATGAGAAAAGTAACTAAGACAGTAGGCAACTAAAAAATGGGCAAAAGATATGAATGGACATTTCTTCAGAGATATACAAATGACCAATAAACCCATGAAAAGATGCTCAGCATTACTAAATTAGAGAAATACAATCAAAACTTCAATGAGACATTACTGCATACACATTAAAATGACTACTGTAAAACAACAACAACCA